TGGCAACAATAATAAAACAAGCCCAGAACAATGATGTTATGGAATACATAATTACTGAAAAAAAATGACATAACGGCAGATGTTAGGCTAGTTTTGTACACTCAAATGCTCACAAGGATAGGTGTGCTTGTTTTTACAAACACTTGTAATTCGCTTAAACTGTCCTTAAGTTTATCATTAATTATTTTAGGTTTGCGTGCTATTTGTAAGGAATTAGATGCAAGCACAGTATATAGCGCCATCTGCTGTTACAAAATTAGCATCGATTTGACAGAACTCACTTTAGTAACACTGTAACTACACACTATGAATCATTTTTTTAAGCATTAGCAAATAGTTAATTCATTATTTGGTAAGCATTACCTCTACATTAATAGACATTTTTAAATACAGATACAAATGCTGCATTATTGACTCAAACGCATTTGCATAATGTGCTTAATGATTGTGTTTATACTTTAATAATACATTTTCATTAATAAATTAAGCATTGCATTACATACAAACTAGTGATCATCGAGAATGCACAAGTAAATGATTAATAAAGTATTCAAACTATTAACATTTATATATCTTATTATTAAACTACTTAGTATGTTTATGAATGCTTTATTAACTCAACTTTATGCAGTTTTGTGGTCTAATCTAAAGTGTGGGCTGTTTATGCTTTGTAAATCCCTTATGGATGATGAATAAAGTGTTACCCTCACTTTATTCCATTAGGATTTTTAAGGGACGATTAAAAACCCAGACATGCCATGAGTCACATCTGCATTACTTTGGGGGGTTTATAAAAAACAAAACAAAAAGTTAAGCAAGTAAGAGTGCAGTGCAGACCTTCTTCCTGGGTTTGAGATGTTCCCTCCACTCCTTCAGCTGCTGGTTGTGCTGCTCGTCCAGTGACTTCAGACGCTGCGTTTCGTTTTCGATCAGTAAGTGGCACTTCTCATTCTGCAGGACACAAACACACGCATCGGTCAGACCTGCAATGAGCTCTGGAAACATCAAATCTGCTGCACAACTCATTCAAGAACATTCTGCACTTACATTAATGGATGAGTAACATATCTCTTGAACAAATATTCAGTGGGACCGTTGCAGAGAGCCAGCTGCCAGCGCTAACATAATACTGATCAAATATGCACTATTTGTCAGATTTACTGTACGAGACGTAAAGTTCTCATTTTTAATTTAAGAAGTTTTCAGTTTGTTTATTGTTTTTGATAATCGAGTACAATTGTTGAAATAACACCATAACAAAATTTCATATCAAGGTAAACTTAAGCACTTTGTAGGACCCATTTGTGTTTTAAGTACTTTCCAGGCCTTGAATCCATATGTCTGAAATTGAAGTACTTTAGGGAAGCATGGCAACCATCATAGTCTCATACCAGCCCATGGACATAACAGTTTATTTCCGAAACAATGCTGTATGTGCATGAACCAACATTAAACATTAGCCCCTTTCACACATACAGACCTTTCCGGAAAATTACTAGCAATTTTCTGGAAAGGTTTTATGTGTGAACAGGTCCTTTTTGAAAATACCGGTAAATTCATTCTGGCTATTTTCCGGAAAGTGAAGTTGTAACATTACCGGCAATTTGCCGGAATGCTGCGCTGTGTGAATGCAGAAGGAAGATTGCCGGAAAGAGCGCCTACACGTCTAGAACGTGCTGATGTGAGACGTCTGCTTTAGCCAATCAGAACAGTCAGACGCATTTATATCCGCGCGATTGATGAGAATAAAAGCCTTTGAATATTTTCCCAGATGCATTTAGCTGCTAGAAGGTAGTCAGATAACATTTATATGTTCTTCTTAATGCCAACTGTGTAATTAATCATCGATGAGATGCTTATGATAAGCCGCTGTTCGTTTACCTTCAAGCTTTGCGTGTGCCTGTGAAACAGCCTCTGAGCGCCAGCACACACACATATTATGAACATCTCGACATGCGAAAGTGATCCTCCATATGTTTTCATCGAAGTTGTTCACAATATTGATCATCCACAGAGTTTGTAATTTAGTCAAATGTTTCCAAATACAAGCGCAGCCGTTAAAGGCTCATTTGTGGTGAATGATGTCAGAATTTACCGGTATTTTGCAATGGATGTGTGAACGGTCTTTTCCGGAAAAATTCTGTATCGTCCTCGCCTGTGTGAACAGCGCTTTTTTGAATATACCGGTAAAGTCGTTCCGGAAATTTTCCAGATATTTACCGGTATCACTGTGTGAAAGGGCCTAATGCTTGGTGTGTCCCGGCCTTTACAGTTATAACCATCCCATTTGAGCGCAGCAATAATGCTGAAGTGGCTCTGACTGAAAATGAACTGACACCCTGCTGTAAACAGAATCTGACCTGGAGCTGCTGCAGTTCTCTGGTGTTTCCATCACACTGGCTGAGCATCTCCCGCATCTGGTTCTCATGTTTCTGCTGCTGGTGCAGGCGTTCGGCTTTCTGCCTCTTCTCCTCCATTCTGGAGAACTGAACAGGACAGAGAAAGGAAGTTAGAGAGCTGGAGTCACAAATATTTCCCCAGTGATGTTTAACAGAGCCAGGAAATGTTCACAGTATGTCTGATAATATTTTTTCTTCTGGAGAAAGTCTTATTTGTTTTATTTCAGCTAAAATAAAAGCAGTTTTTAATTTTTAAGAAAACATTTTAAGGTAAATATTGTTAGCTCTCTTAAGCAATCTTTGTTTTCAAGCGCCTAGTTAAGCCTTTAAATGTCACTTTAAGCTGAGCACTAGTATCCTGAACAATAGTCTAATATTATTTACTGTCATCTTCGCAAAGATAAAATATATCAGTTATTAGAGATGAGGTATTAAAATTATTATGATTAGAAATGTGTTGAAGAAAAAATCTTCTCTACATTAAACAGAAATTGGGGGAAAATAATACAGGTGGGCTAATAAATCAGACTTAAACGTTTGACAGGAGATCAGCTTTACCTGCTTGACCTTTTCACGGTCTTCCGCTGCGCTGCCGCTGGAGTTGATTTTGAGGCTCTTTTTGAACATGACCATGCGCGTTTTTGCTTCGTTGCGCTGGATTTTAGGCAGTCTGTTCCTCTCCTGTTGCTGTCGGGCCTTGAGAAGTTCGACCATTCGCAGGTTGTAGTGCAGCATCTGCTCCTGTTCCTGCAAACACCACATACAGGCCAGAGATTGATCAAGGTCAGAACATAAACATACAGGAACACCTTTTCTAATGAAAGGAGGAGAGTCTACACATAAAACACAGTCTGTAAACCAGGCACAGCGAACACCTCAAGTCTGCATAAATTATGTTTTTAAAAAATAAAGAAAATAGAAAAAAAAGCTATAATTTTCCTGACATTAAGAAATGCTTTTTCATTTTTTTTTAATATCAATAAGATTTTTGCTAATTATTATTTATTTATTAAGGTAAAGATGAATAACAGATGACTAACTCAAATCTTACAGAAATATGCTAAGAAATGTAACTAAATTTGTAAATTTAATTTGTAAAGTTTATTAACTTGGCTCTAATTCTCCATTTTGTTTGTTTTCATTTTTTTTTTTTTTTGTTATGCACAAGTTTTATTGGTTGACCCTTGAGATAAAATTCAATTTCATAATTAATATATTTAGTTTTTAGCCATGTGTAGGTGTTTGAATTTGTTACATTTTTTAATTCATTATCAGTAATGTTAGTCTAAACTTGCATTCATTTTTGTTTATTGTCATTTTGCCTTGCATATTAATATTCTTTCATTTATATCTTGAATATTTTACAATTTTAACAATATTATTTCATTATTATTACTATAAAAAAGCATTTTTTAATTCTAAAAAAAAAACTAACTTTCATTTAAGCAGAGAATAACTAGAATCCTACCTAAATATGTTTACTAATCGAACAACTTGTGTAAATTAAATACTTTATTTCTCAGTTCGTTTATGTTTTATTCATTCAATTAAGCTGTTTATGTATTTATTTTAGTGCTGTCAATCGATTAAAAAAATAAACTAATTAATAGCACCTTTTATTGAAAAACAATCACGATTAATCACATTTAAAAGACTGAAATTTGTCATTTTGGCTATTCAATTGTAAAATTAATGTAAACGCAAGACAAAAACTATTTAAATTCAAAATATAATTGTTTATTCAAATTTTTGTTAAACTTGTAACACAGATTTCTTCATGTAAAGAACATGAAGATCCAACCATCAAGATCCTGGCTTGACAGCCATATTTACAAAAATTAAAACACAGACATGTTAACGACATTTGAATTTCAAAACAATCAATGCCAATAAAGAAAACATTGATTTCCAAGCTGGATTTTAAGTTGACTGCAAAAAAATGCCACAGGAATCATAAAATGATATAGGAACAATTGTGTGTGCGTCTGTGCTCAGACCTTCTCGTGTTTCTTGAGGAGCTGGTGTCTCTGCAGGAAGTACTGGTCCTTCAGCTGCTGTTTGTGGAGCTGGTGTCGCTCATGCAGGTTCTTCTCCTCCATGTCCCAGAGCGTCGCCTCTCGCTCTGACAAACCACAAACACACTCTCTATGAAAAATCCTACACATGCAAACCAACTTCCATTAAAGCCAAAAAAGTTTTACAAAATCCTCATTTACTCCATTTAAAGTGGTGCTAAACTTTCATGTTTTTTATTTTTTTTCTGTTAAGATATCCTGAAGAATGCTGGAAATGAGCAGCCATTGACATCCACAGCTGGAACAAAAATACTATGGAAGTCAATGGCTTTTTTTTCCCAGTATATCTTCCTTTGTGGGCGACGCAGTGGCGCAGCAGGTAGTGCTGTCGCCTCACAGCTGGAAAGGTCGCTGGTTCGAGCCTTGGCTGGTTAAGTTGGCATTTCTGTGTGGAGTTTGCATGTTCTCCCTGCGTTCGCATGGGTTTCCTCCAGGTGCTCCGGTTTCCCCCACAGTCCAAAGACATGCGGTATACAGGTGAATTAGGTAGGCTAAGTTGTCCGCAGTGTATGTATGTGAGTGAATGAGTGTGTATGTGTTTCCCAGTGATGGGTTGCAGCTGAAAGGCTGCATAAAAACAAATGCTGGATAAGTTGGCGGTTCATTCCGCTGTGGCGACCCCAGATTAATAAAGGGACTAAGCCGAAAAAAAAAAATGAATGAATCTTTTTTGTGTTTAACAGTAGAAAGAAACTCAAACCAGTTTGTAACAGGTAAAATGAGACTAAATGATGGTGATTTACAGTGTTGAGGTGGCTGAACAATCGTAACTATCAGGTGAACCTTCATTAATTCTGCTATGTGGAAAATATGATTGAATTTTGCGTCCGTCTGCAGTGTGTTTCTGTATGGACGCAGAAAGCTATACCTCTGACAAGATTCTGCTTTTTGAGCAGACACTGGCGCTCGGTCTCCGAGATTTCATGCTTGTTTTTAGAAATGATGCTCTTGAGAGTCACGTCCAGGTATTCCTTCTGATCTGCAATGAACTTCTGCTCCTGTACAAGACAAACACAGAAATGATAAAGCGTGATCTTTTCCAGTAATAATCATGTCTGATGCGTGATGCAACTGGGAATCATCATACCCTCATAGCAAACTAACAGTACTGTAAGTGCAGCGAGGTTAAGAATATTGTGGTTTACATATTACATAAGTTCTCTCTATAATAGTATAATATTAATAGTTTAATAAACACACATTCGGTTACAATAAAAACAGTTTGTTTTCTGCAGTAGCCTAAATAAATCTTAAACATCAAAAATGCTTTTACATTACTATATTTACAAATATAGCCTAATAATAAACTATTCTTTTTAAGAAATTATTTTAAAACACTGCTTATTTTTAAGTTGTTAACTCGCAAAACACCAGTAACTCATTTATGTAAATGTGTTAATGAAAAAATACAAACATTATCTGATTATTTGACTGCATTTTGCAACTAAAAGAGGGTATTTTCAACTGCACAATAAACCACGAAAGATCCCGATTTCTGCCAGAAAAAGCAAACATGTTGATCTTAATCCAGAAGAAAAATGGTTAAAAACTGAAAGTCATTTTCCTTTAAACCATTGTACATTCATTTCCAGGAAAATGTTATTTATTTGTTTTACAATTATTGGTTTTGCTTTATTTTACATTAAAAACATAATAATAAAATAAAGTGTTGTTAATTCTGTTCAATTAGTTTTTTTTTTTTTTCTAAAAAAGCACCGATAAGAGAACCGTTAAAGCACCAAACCGATAAGTGGTATAGATAAAAGTAGTAATACCTTTAAAATCTTAACAATACCCATCCCTAGTCCCCACGATACAATATTGATATGATACTTGTGTCACAATAACCAACGCAAATTTTGAATGTGATTTTTTTCCAAATTCAGACTGTATGAAAATATAATTCAGGGAATGTTGTCTACGGTAAAATCCCAAAAGTGGAGATATCTGTTACTCTATCGAGCAGCGATTTTTGTTCAACTGACCTCGTCTGATCTCATCTGCTGATAGTTGTTCATTTTCATCTTCATAGTGTCTTTCCTCTGATTCCTGGGCATCTTCTCAACTTCTTGTTTGACCTATGACCAAACAAAGATGTAACTTAACAATCTGCAATAACTGTTTTTATAAAATTGATTTTACTTTCAATTCGAAATGACATGGACAGCTGTTTCCATCCATCTATTTTACGTGTATTTTGGAATATCGCATAGAAAAATGCTTCATGTAAACAACAAGATGCGCAAACATTTTCAAAATCCGCATAAAAATAGTGTATACCCACCACTGAGTAGGATAAACTTTAGATGTGATATTTAAAAAAATGCACATATGAAAACACAATTCTTGAATAAATTCCAGCATGTGCATTGAAAAATGCTAATTTTGTTTTAGCAGATCATGTGATAAAAATAATCGCGATAAATGGACAAACCAGTGTTTCCAGCACATCTGAGATGCTGTTTTGCTCATTCCTCAGCCAAAGTCTGTCATCACATTGGTGCAGTATTATTAATATTATTCTATTATTATTACCTCTAGAACAGAAAAAAGGCCAACTATGGCTCATCCAACTGCATTAAATGTCATTTTTTTCTATTCGATATTTTGCACCAGGTAATTATAATGATTAAAATGATAATCACAGTTTTACAGTTATAGGATATCATTTACATTTGTATTAACATGTTGATTTATTTCTTGATGATACTGAAATTATTTACTTATTACCTTACAAATAATATAGTTATTAATATGGTTCACTTATTATATAATAGTTTACTTATTACCTATAAATGCTTAATGAGTATTTATTAAATAGACACACCACTTTTTTTTTTTTTTGTAAATGAGCTAATTTTACCACTCCTCAAGAGGTAAACAGTTGAATTTTACCATATTTGAAGCCATTCAGCTGATCTCTGGGTCTGGCAGAAGCACTTTTAGCTTAACTTAGCATAAATCATTGAATCGGATTAGACCATTAGCATTTCACTCAAAAAAAAACTAAAACTTTTGATAATTATCCCATTTAATGCTTCACTTTGAAAATACAAAGTTGTTATTTTCTAGGCTGATATGCTGTATCATGAAGTCTTCATTTTTTTGTGTCATGCTAATGGTCTAATCCGACTGAATAATCAATGCTAAGCTAAAAGTACTTCTTAAGAAAAATTATAAATTTCAACTTTTTAACTCTAGGGGAGTTGTAAAATGAGTGTATTTCCCCCAAAACTGGCTAATTTTACAACTACTTAGAGTTCAATTGTTGAGTTTTACCATTTTTGCTTTTCATGCTCTTAGCTTAGCATAAATCATTAGATTGAATTAGACCTTTAGCATCCCTTGTTTCGATAATTTTCCTATTGAATGGCTATTTTCTAGACTGAAATGCCGTATCATGAAGTAACTACAGAAGAGTCAAGCTTTACATAAGAAAATTGAAAAAAAAAAATTGAGATGCTAATGGTCTAATCCGATTCAATGATGTATGCTAAGCTAAGCTAAATATGTTTAAAAATATCTCTAAAAATATGTTTTTTAGAGTCACAAAATGAGCTCATTTCCAAAACAAAAGGACTGTTCCTTTAACATCAGCAACAACAAAAGTGCATTTCATGTGTAGACTCGTTTTCTTGCCTCTTTCTTCTTTTGTTTCATCTGGTCCAAGAACTTTTGGTAGGCTTTTTCCTGCTCCACACGGATGCGTTTCCCCTCTTCTCTCAGTGAATTGCTGTGCTCCATCTCCATCCTCTCGATGGTCTGCTTCTGATGTTTCTCCAGGGCCTCCAGCTCCGTGTCGTAGTATTTCTTCTTGGCCTGTGAGCAAAAAATAGATCAAATACATCAGCACTATTTGTTTTACATTTTACAAAATAATTACTGCTGTTTTGCTCTCATAAGATCTTTCAGATGACACAGAAAATACACACTCAAATGTTATTATTATTATTATTATTACTATTCTACTACTACTAAAAATAATAATTGCTATATTAAAAATACTGATAATATCAACATTATTATTATGATTATTATGATTAATATTATTATTAGTGTTATTATTACTACTACAATACTACCACTATTAACAATAATATTAATAATAATAATTGTTATATCAAAATAATAATATAATTAATATTATTGTTATTATTACTACAATAATAATAATAATATCTACTATATTAAAAAATATCATTATTATTAGTAGTAGTATTATTATTATTACTATACTACTACTACTAAAATTAATAATTGCTATATTAAAAATAATGATAATATCAACATTATTATTAATATTATTATTATTAATATTATTATTAGTGTTATTATTATTACTACTACAATACTACCACTATTTACAATAATATTAATAATAATAATTGTTATATCAAAAATAATAATAATATCATTAATATTATTATTATTGTTATTATTATTACTACAATGCTAATAATAATAATAATTACTATATTAAAAATAGTATTATTATTATTGTTATTATTACTACAATACTACTAATAATAATATTATAAAATAATTGTTATATTAAAAATATTATTACTATTATTACTACAATACTACTACTACTAATAATATCATCATCATTATTATTATTTTTATTATTACCTAAGAGTAACAATGACTACTTTAACATGGATGTCAGTAATCAAATTATTAAAATTATCTAGTTAAGGCAGTAAGAATTCTGTCTTCATAGGAAATGTATAAATGTAAGTAATAGTAGGTAATAAGTGACTGAAGAAAAGAGGTCAGCTGTGTGTGCTGGAGCTCTAAACACACTCACGTTCATCTCCTGGTCAAACCTGCGGTGCATCTGCTCGCGCTGCTCCTTCAGCTTCATGTTGAGCACCGTCAGCGAGCGATGCTGCTCTTTCTGCAGGAGACGCAGATCCCGAAGCTCCTGACGCCTGCACACACCAATCACAACTCAGCAATCAAACAACACTCTAGTATTTTACAATACAACAACTGCATTGTACTGTATACAACTGATTAACAGACTGAACCATTATAAAGGGGACCTATTAAGCTATTATGTTTGTGTGGCAGCAGTGTGTGAATATTCTGATGGTAAACATCGATTACAATTACTGTTAAGAAAAACAGTTTGCAGAAACACTCTCAATTTGTACGTGTCATCAGAGGGGGAAGTCCCGCCCACTAGTGACCATCTCTCCCTCATTAGCATAGGACGCTATTCTTGTTTTTGAATCTGCCACTATGCTGATACATAGGCACTTGTAGCTCCGCCCTCTTTTGAAAAGAGCACAATCTCATTTGAATTTAAAGCGACAGTCACCAAAATGCCACAATTAGAATCAATGCCTAAAAGGATTTCAAGGAGTTATTAAACATCTGTGTGGTATTTTGAGCTGAAACATCACATACACACTCTCGGGACATTAGAGACTTTACATCTGAAAAGTGGCGTATTTTTTTATAAAGAACATTCTATGTAATAATAATATTAATGATAATATTTTTAAGCATCAAATCAGAATATTAGATTTATTTCCTAAGAATCATTTTTGTTTAAATCGGTAATTAGGTTTAGATGGCAAACACCTTTTTTCTTAGTAATAAAAACTAGTGGTGAATGAATCACAAATCTCATGGTTCCGATTACATTATGGTTTGGATCGGACCATTTTTCTGATCAGCCAAAAAGGGGAGGAGACGGATGTAATTTGTTTTCAATTTATTACAAAAACAGCACTGAAAGAATCATTTTTTTTTAACGAGCAGAACTTAGAACTTGTAATTGTATTAATAAAATTGAAGAAATAATCAGCTGAAAAAAAATAAACTGTAAAATATTCAGTTCTGTGAAAAGGTCACTGTTACTACTACTGTTGCTGATAACATTAAATGTAGAAATCTAACGTTATAATTTGTACAACCCACATTTATTATGGTCTCATTATTAATAAATGATTAAGATATTCACTCATAAAACTTCATGTTTCATTGCTAGATGATCGTTTTTGAAGGATTATTCAGTGGCATTTTTTAATGGCTGGTTGTCGCCACCTACTTGTTAAGTAATATAATTGCTGCCTACAACTTTCGTTATTGAGCATCAAGTTAAATGCAAATCACGGTGATTTTAATCTTTGCCATAAACAAACCTCAATGGTTTTATCTGTTTTATTTAAACTGTTATCCTAGTACTTCTGTGTTATTTGACTGTTTGTAATTCATAACTAACTCAAAGGACTAAAGACTGAATCTCTTTCTTGATTTTTGCATTTTTCAATCACAGATTTGAATGCAGCGATTTGAAGGACTAATAAACATATGCAAGTCACCATCATTTATAATACATTTTGTGTGGGTGTTGAGATCCTGATCTATTAATGATTAATCGTGCAGCTGACACTGAATGCATTAATGCAGGATAAACAAGTAGTGACAGAAAACTCCTTTAATAATCCAAGAAACCCACCACATCCTGAATA